CGAAAAAAAAAAAAAAAAAAAAAAAAAGTGGCATCATCCCCATTTCACAAACAACGAGGCTTGAAGGTGGGAGATAGACCTGTATGCCGGCTAATACAGTGTAGACTTGGAGTGGAACCCTGGGCCCCTCACTGCCTCTACTGGAATCCAAGGGGGACCCTCAGACCCTGTTCTCAGAGCATTTCACTCCGGCACATGGACAGTAAGTGCTCAGTGAATGGGGGCTCTCAGTGGGCAAGGCCAGGGCACGGACACTGGAGGATGCATAGCTACACAGGGCTATATACCCTCCGTGCTGGTGCAGGGCCATTGGGGTTCCTGGAAGAGAACCACTGTGGCTCTTGGGTCCCCCCCAGGCAGGGCGGCTCTTGACAGATTCAGACCACTTCTGACTGGGACCTGCTGACCTCTAACCGTGAGCTGTTAGCCAGGGCACAGAGATGGGTGAGAGCAAGGGACACCTCAGGTGCCCAGGGTTCCAGCAGCCAGACTGGGAAGGGGACCCGATCCCACAGCCCTTCTCCCTTCTCCTTCTGCCCCCCCTCCCCCAGCCTCTCTGATTCATGCAGTGAATCAGTGACAGGAAAGAGCCCTTGGCCTGCTGGTAATACCGTTAGTAACCCCGAGGGGAAAGGGGAAGTGGAGAGGGAAGGGGAAAGGTGAGCCATCCCAGCTCCCTCAGGCCAGAAGGCCGCAACAGCCGCTGCTGTGTCTTGCCCTTAACCCCACCTTGACCCCACTACCTCCATCTGAGATGCGGGTGGCTAGGAGCCTGGCTGACCAGAAGCACCGAGGGCATTCTCCCCAAACCTACTGAATGGGAAAGTCAGCGAGAGAAACTCTAGAATCTGTACTTGTAAAACTGCAGCCCTCCCCCATGATGCCGTAGTCAGGTGGTTGTAGGGGCCCTGACTCACCCTGATGAGGGTGATATGGGGGTACCACCAAGGGGAAGCATCAGCTATGAATGAACCAGGGGCCGAAAGGGGTGCTGTTTCCTTTAAGGTGACGTTCTGTACTTTTAAACAATTTTGTTTTGGAAAGCTTTCCAGCGGTTCCCTATGTGAATTTTCCAGGAGGCGTTGGAACATCTGGGGTATGTTCTTTCTTTTAAGTCACAGGTTTAAACGGGAAAGAGAAAATTTTCCATGCCAGCAAGAGGGAGGCGTCTATTGCAGGGCAGCATCCAGGCCTGTGTCTTCTGCAGGATCTGAGCTGAGCACTGGGTGGGCTGGTGAGGAGGCCCCACCCACTCTGGCCGGTTCCCATTCTTCCGCCCTTCTCCATCAGGATGTGAAGATCTTCCGGGCCCTGATCCTAGGGGAGCTGGAGAAGGGGCAGAGCCAGTTCCAGGCCCTCTGCTTTGCCACCCGGCTGCACCACAATGAGATCATTCCCAGCGAGGCCATGGCCAAGCTCCGACAGGTGAGTGCCCACCCCGAACCTGCCCCAGAGCCCTCACACCTGCAACTGACTACTGGCCTGGACCCTACCCCAGCCTCAGTCTCCCACCTGATCGCCGGCACCCCACTCTTACCCTCTAGTCCTGAACCCCTTAAATATGCCAAACCTGACCCCATAACCCCAGATCCCTAATCTGCCCTGAACCCCCATCTCCGAGATTCTGCCAGTCCCCTAATCTCAGCTCCTCCCCGTTTATGATGGAGGCAGGTCGGATCTGCCTTCAGGCCCAGGGCCACCACCCATCATCCCGGTGACGCTGGACAAGTCACCTCGCCTTCAAAACCCCTGTTTTCTTACTGAGATGGGTTATGGTGAGAATTAAGTGGGATAGTGCATGTTAAGTGTTCAGTGTGGCCTTTGAAACCCTCAGCCTGTTGCCCTTCTCCCGGTCCCTTCCTGGACTCCGGGCCTCTCCCCGGCCTCATTTAAATCCCCTGAACTATCCAGCAAGAGCTGTCCGAGGCCCCTCCCTTTTACCTGCTTTTCACAGAGTGACTCAGTTGCCTGGAAGTTGGAGAATACAGGGCCCCAGAGGTCACTGACCCTGGGACAGTTCACCTCACCTGCCCACCTCCAACGCCACCCCCCAGCAACGGGTCAGAATTCTCCCTCAGGCCCCAGAGGTCAGCCCGGGCGGCTGCTGGCTGAAAAGGCTCGACTGCGCCCTGGGTGTCAGTTTCTCCGCCAGTTGGAGGGGGGCTGGGTGCCCCTTGACTGCCACCCTGCCGGTGGCCCCAAGGATCCGAAGACAGCCGGCGCGGGCGTGTCTGACTCTCAGCGACCAGGGAAGGAGTGGGCAGGGGGCCTTCTGAGGCCGGGTGGGAACGGCTGTCCTCCACGCAGAAAAATCCACGGGCAGTGCGGCAGGCTGAGGAGGTGCGGGGCCTGGAGCAGATGCACATGGACGTCACCGTGAACTTCAGCCAGGGGGGCCTGCTGAGCCCCCATCTCCGCAACGTGTGTGCCGAGGCCGCAGATGCCATCTACACCCGCCAGGAGGACGTCCGATTCTGGCTGGAGCAAGGTCAGCTGGGTGCTGCCCGCTGCCGTATCGCCTCAGATATGATGGGAAGCAATGACGAGATATGGGAGGTCTAAACCCAGCTGGGACTGGTCAGGGAAGGCTTCCTGGAGGAAGTGATGCCTGTGTGGCTCTTTACTGAGAGGAGTTAGCAGATGAAAGGAACCAATTCCAGGTAGGGACGCGGAGAACTGTGACTCTGCTAGGCTCCGGGGAGGGAATGCCCATGCAAAGCCCCCCTCAGCCCTGCCCTTAGTGAGAACACAGATGGAACCTTCTGTCGTGGGACATGGGCACAGGAACCAGGGTCTGGATGGGGCCCAAAGATGCCCATTCCCATCTGCCACCTCTCAGAGATGAGCTCCTCTCTTTCCCTTCACACCTTCCCAGGATCCTTGAGAACGCCTCCCATCTTTGCACGGTCCCTGCCTTCCCGGCCTATGGGACCTCACTGCTGGCCCATCTCTGGGTCACCTTTCCCAGGACTGTCCTGAAGTCAGACAGACCTGGGATTCAGACCTGACTCCCCTACCTACTGTGTGACCTCAGCCAGATGGTTAAACCTCTCTGGGCCGGTTTTCCCATCTGTAAAACAAGGATGATAACCCCTGGCCCATAGGGGTGCCAGGATGCCTGAAGGGGCCATGCCAGGAGGCCCCCTCCCCTCCCCCATCCCTGACCTGCGCCTTCTCCTCCAGGTGTGGACAGCTTCGTGTTCGAGGCCCTGCCCAAGCCCTCAGAGCAGATGTTGCTGCCTCGCTGTGGGCAGGTGGGGGACCGCGGGAAGCCCTGCGTCTGCCGCTACGGCCTGAGCCTGGCCTGGTACCCCTGCATGCTCAAGTATTGCCACGGCCGTGACCGCCCGACACCCTACAAATGTGGCATCCGCAGCTGCCAGAAGAGCTACAGCTTCGACTTCTACGTGCCTCAGAGGCAGCTGTGCCTCTGGGATGAGGACCCCTAGCTGGCTTGGGATGAGGGGTGGTCCCGGAGGCAGCTGCTGGGGCCCCACTGCTCCTCCCCCAGACGCCAGAGGGCATGGCCACCCCCAACAGAGGCCTTATTGCTGTTCCTTCCCTCCTCCTAATCCCGGAGCCTCTGGCCCCAGACTTGTCACTGTGAAAGGGGGTGTGGCACGGCAGGGGTTAACTCATGAAGGCAGCCCCCCATTCCCATGGGGACGGAGGGAGAAGGGGGTTCTCCAAGCTTGACCCCCCCCATCTCCCCTGAAACGTTCGCTTTCAAGCAACCAAAATACGACAGCGTGACTCTCCTATTTAACTCTTTGCCTGTGATACCCACCTCCCCACGCCCAGCCCCCTGCCCCACCCTCCAGAAGGAGCTGGCCCCTGTGCACCTTCCCACTGCCCAACAGGGAGGGGATCCTTGCCCCAGAGAGGGGGCAGCGCCGACAGCGGATCTCAACACGTTCTTCTCACTGCTGGCCTCTGAGGCTGCCCGGGGGCCAGCTGGGGGCCCCCCACCCTGAGACAGACCACAGGTGCCTTTCCGCAGACCTGGACTTTGCCAAGGGAGCTGGAGCCGGCTTGCACCCTCGAAGCAGAAATATTTTTGTAAGGTTTTGGGGCAGGGAGGGAGCATGAAGTATGAGGAAAACTTGAATCCCAGATTTTTAATGCAAAGTATTTATCATTTGTACCAGAAATAAAAGTTTAAATTTTTACTTGGCTGATAGCTCTAGACTCAGAGTTCTGAGAGAACTTTTGGCCAATGCTGCCACCTGGCGTCAGGAGAAGTGTCCCTGTGCTCTTGGTGACCCATCTTGGGACAACTCCTAAAGCACCTATTGTGTGCTCAGCCTTGTGTTGGGGGGAGAGGATGTAGATGGGGGTGGGTATTATTAGGAAAAGATATGACAAAATTTCTGCGCTTAAGAAAATGAGACATACATAGATGGGCAAGCCAGGCAGTAAAAGACCCCGTGGCATAGACTGAGATGTGAGATATGGTGAAAGCTCTGGAACCAGACTTCCAGGGGTCAAATCCTGGGCATGATTTTTTTTTTAATTTATTTTATTGAAGTGTAGTTGATTTACAATGTTGTGTTACTTTCTGGTGTACAGCAAAGTGACTCAGTTACACATATATGTAATAGCTTGCATTTGTTAGTCCCAAACTCCCAGTCCATCCTTCCCCCACCCACTTCCTCCCCTCCCCCTTGGCAACCACAAGTCTGTTCTCTATGTGAGGCTGTTTCTGTTTTGTAGATAAGTTCATTTGTGTCATATTTTAGATTCCACATGTAAGTGATATCATATGGTATTTGTCTTCCTCTTTCTGACTTACTTCACTTCCTATGATAATCTCTAGGTCCGTCCGTGTTGCTGCAAATGGCATTGTTTCATTCGTTTTTACGGCTGAGTAGTATTCCATTGTGTATATGTACCACATCTTTTTTTATCCATTCACCTGTCGGTGGACATTTAGGTTGTTTCCGTGTCTTGGCTATTGTAAATAGTGCTGCTATGAACATAAGGGTGCATGTAAATATCTTTTTGAATTGGAGTTTTGTCCAGATATATGCCCAGGAGTGGGGTTGCTGGATCATATGGCAACTCTAGTTTTTGGAGGAACCCCCATACTGTTCTCCATAGTGGCTGCACCAATTTACATTCCCACCAACAGTGCAAGAGGGTTTCCTTTTCTCCACACCCTCTCCTGCATTTGTTATCTGTAGACTTTTTAATGATGGCCATTCTGACCAGAGCAAGGTGATACCTCATTGTCGTTTTTTTGTTTGTTTGTTTTGTTTTTTGCGGTACGCAGGCTTCCTACTGCTGTGGCCTCTCCCGTTACGGAGCACAGGCTCCAGACGCTCAGGCTCAGCGGCCATGGCTCACGCGCGGCTATGGCTCACACGCGGCCATGGCTCACGGGCCCAGCCGCTCCGTGGCATGCGGGATCCTCCCGGACCAGGGCACGAACCCGTGTCCCCTGCATTGGCAGGCGGACTCTCAACCACTGCGCCACCAGGGAAGGCCCTCATTGTCGTTTTGATCTGCATTTCTTTGTTAGCGAGGTTGAGCATCTTTTCATGGCCCTGTTGCTGGCCATGATTCTTATTTGCTGTGCAATCTCGAGTTACTTTACCTCTCTGTGCCTCAGCTCTCTCAGCTATAAAATGGGCTTAATTGTGAGACTGAAGTGAATTTATACGTGTCAAGTGCCCAGCACATAGTGAGTGCTCACTGTGTTAGCTACTATTGTTACCGTTAGTGAAAAGAGCAGACGTTTCCTCATTTATAAACCGAGACAGTGGAGCCAGACATCCTGAAGGCCTCTTCACTTCAAGAGTATCTTCTAGTATAAAGAGGCTGTAATATGAAGTGCCGGGCTGGGCACTGAGGACTTCCAAGGAGGAAGGATGTGCAGGTTGAGTAGATTGGGGAAGGTTTCCTGGACGAGGTGGGACGTGGGTTGAGGCTGCAGGCTGGTAGGGATTTGGCAAGGTGGAGGGGACCGTGTGAGCACAGGGCAGAGACTGGAGTCTTTCAGGTGTTGGGCAAATCCCAGGGGTCCCAACTCCTTAGGAGGGAGGAGGCTGGGAGTCAGAGCCTTCCTCACAGGCCTTGGAGAAGGAAAGGGGCTGGCAGGGCTGTCCCCCTTACTCTGCTCCCCAGTACCCCCAGAACAGGCTGCTGCTGTCCCTTGAACTGTGCTGGCCAGAGGGGTATGTTGGGAGCTGGGCTTGCTTGATGGTCAAGTTAGTGGTAGGGGAGTGGGGAGACATCCTTTTCAAGTGGGTGTGCCTCTTTCTGAACATGTTTTCAAGGACCAGCTTCAGCCGTGCTGGGGGGCAAGTTGGGGAGGCCTTCCTCCCCAAGCCTTTTTCTCCTTCACCTCCTGCCCAGCCCCTGCTCTGGGTGAGGGAGGGGATTACTTGGAGAAGGCATCTCCCACCCCTCTTAACTCTGTGGGTGTGTCTTCATTGCTGGGGGTGGTGGTCCCCAAACCATATGCCTTCCCTACTCACTTCCAAATAGCCAAGAATAATTCTTTTTAAAAAAGTAATGTTTTCAAGACTTGGAGTGTTTATCTGATCTTCCTTGGGGAGGGGGGGATTAGCACCTCCAAGCCTGCCTGTCTCCTGCAGGGTGGGGCCTGCTGGACACTGTCACTACAGACCACCCTGCCTGGGGCCCCTTCTTGGTTTCAGGGCACGGAGATGGGGATTAAGATTCCCTGTGACTTTGGCCTGACCCTAGACTCAGACGAAGTCCACGCCTCCCTTCATTCCAAGGAACCCTCCCAACCTCCCCAGCCAAGCTCTGGCTCTGCCACGGTGCCTCCAATTGGAAGTGTCGTATTTGTGTGCATCAGACTCACTCAGAGCTTGTTACCTAGATGTAGATGGTCAGCTAGTTGAGAGATAAGGCTTTACTTTCCTCAAAAGTCCTTTGTGGATGTGAGAAAACACCTGCGAGAGGTAATATACCTACGATAGTACTCATTTCTTCAGGGTTTACAAAGTGCCTTCATGTAAATGAGCTCACTTGGCTTCTTTCAGTGATTCTGTGACATTTTATGAATGCGGCTCACCTATGAAACGATGTGACTTGCCCAAGGTCAGAGAGTAGTGAGGAATCCAAACCCAGCCTTCTTATGCCACGCACACTTACAACCCAAATGGGTTTATCGGATGGGCCCACCGGAACCTCAGCACGGTGCACTGGGGGAGGGTGAGCAGGGCCAGCCCTGCAGTAGCAATCACTGAGGACTGGGTGGGAGGGTGGGGGGGTTCCCAAAGCTCCCCTGGAACTGATGTTGGCAGGAACAGGCTTCTGATTGGTTCCCTTGGCCAAGGTAAGCAAGGCCCTCGGGTGGGAGCCCAGGAGACCAGATCTCACCAGTGCCTCTTCAAGCCAGAGGAGCTAAAAGTGGTGCCAGGCCTCCCCGGCAGGATCACCCGAGCGTGGCCGGGCCTGTACTTTCTGTGGGTTTTCTTCAGGCTCCTCTCCCTGCGGTCTTGTTAACCACTGGATGTCTTAGGTGGGGAAACTGTGGAGCCCTACAGTTGGAGCATCTCTGCCCAGGGCCTTCATGGGACCTGGATAGGGTGCGTGGAGCTGTCAAGGAATCTGGCAAAAAGTGGGGCAGGGGCGGCTCCCCAGAAGCAAAACTTGAGGCTAAAAATTCACGTGAGGAATGTGGGTACCGGCCTAGTCCCACCTCTGGGTGACCTTGGGTGGGTCACCTCCCCTTCCAAGCCCCCAATTCCATCATCCACTAAGAGAGAGGGCCTCTCTAGACTGTCTTCCCCGACACTGGCATTCACCGTGTAACTGCTGCCTGGCATCCTACTGCAGATTATTAGCCATTTGGTCACTGATGGGCAATTGACTGGCTCCTATGGCCAGTATTTGGTTGATACTGTCAAATCACCTCCAAATGGTGCTGTCCAAATTTACATTCTCACTAGCAGTGTGTGAGAGGCCCTGTTTCCACACATTTCTGCTGTATCAGTCAGGGTTCTCCAGAGAAACAGAACAGAATATATATACATACATATATATACATATATATATATACACACAACTGTCTACATATATATACAGTTGACCCTTGAACAAGGCAAGGATTAGGGGAGCAAGAATCAAAAATCTGAGTATGATTTATAGTTGGTCCTCCATATCTGTGGTTCCTTAGCATTCGCAGTTCTGCATCCACAGATATAACTGTGGATCGTGTAGTATGACAGTATTTACTATTGAAAAAAATCCCCGGATAAGTGAACCCAGGCAGTTCAAACCCATGTTGTTCAAGGGTCACACACACACACACACACACACACACACACACACACACACACACTGATTGATTTTAACTCATGTGATTGGGGATCTGGGCAGCTAAGTCCTGGCAGCTGGCAGGTTAGGCAGAAGTTGATGTGGCAGCCTTAAGTCTGAAATCTATAGGGCAGGTCAGCAGCTGGGAACTCATTCA